ATGTGTTCTCAAAATCAAAAGGAGATGCTTAAGCTGCTAGTTACTGATATGAAGCCACTTTCTGTTCGGGACATTGTCCACAATGGAGCCACTTTCCAGGTAATGTAGTCTTTGTTTGCTCTATATGATTTTAATGTATCCATGATATCTTACTAATACCTTTTGTAACTCATAGATGTGGTTTAGGATCGGAAAATTGATGTAGTGAGTTCTTAATGATGTTGTAAATCACCTATTCAGTGGTTCTATGCCAACCTTGCTTTACATGTCTGCTAATGTAAATCGAACACTCTCTTACATCTCGCCAATAAATATGAAAAGAGATTAGATCTGACATCTGACCATAAAATTGCAGAAAACGTAAATAATATATGATTTGATTGAAATTCAAACACACAGACCTTTTTTTTTATTGATTCAATGCTTTTCTTGCAGCTTTGTTGGCCATCGTGAATTGTGTGGCGAGCAAATCGAAGAGTGCATGAAGGACAATATGATTGAGTATGCCGTTAGAGTATTATCCGGAAGCTTGGTATTGCAAGTGTGGCAACAAGCTCTTCATGCCTAAGCTGTATCAAAATTTTATTCCTAGTTTTGTTTCACTTTGAAGCTCCTTTGTATTTAGGTGATGTTGTATCACATTCTAATGTTCAAGTGTATGCAATTCCAAAATTTGTTCAGGAGATGTCATTTTCAATTTTGATAGTCAATTTACAATTTACATAAATTGCTGTAAAAAAATAAAAAACCTACGGCAATGGTCGAAAACTGTTGTGAAATGGTTTTTTAGTGTGTTTTGAAATTTTTTTTTTTTTTTTTTTTTTTTTTTTTTTGATTTTGCTGTGGTTAAAGTTGGAAGTTGATTTGTAGTGTGTTGAAAGTGTAGATGGGGTGGCGGGTTTAGGGATTTTGTTGGTAGGGGTGGTGGCTGTGGTGTGGTGAGATGGTGCAAGTGGTGGCGAGTTTAGGAATTTTGTGGATTTTAGCATGCGATGGTGGTGGTTACTGGTGGAGGCGGTGGGGATGGCAATAGAGGAGGTGATAGTTGATTTTTGGTAGGCTGTGATGGTGAGATGGCAGTGGCGATGGCTATAATTGTGGATCTGTTGCGAAGGGGGTGGTCGACGTGACTATGGTGACGGTGATGGTAGGTTTGGTGATAGTGGTGGTGTGGTGGTTTTGGTTCTTAGTAGGAGTGGTGGTGGTCCTAGTCAAGAGAGCTGTGTTGGGTTACGGTTGGGATGGTATAAAGGGGAACTTGTGACCAATAAATTGGTTAATTTATTATCAATAAATAATATGTGACAAATTATTTGAAATCGTGACCAATAAATTGGATATTTTATTATCAATAAATAATATGTGACCTAAAAATTAGAATCGTAACTTATAAAGTTTATAATTTGTGATCCATAGATAAATTATGACTTATAAATTTTTTTGGTTTGTGACCGATAAGTAAATTGTGTCCTATAAATTTTTTTATTTGTGACCGATGAATAAATTGTGACCTCTAAATTTTTTTTATTTGTGTCCTTATAATAATTTGTGACCTTTAAAATTTTTAATTCGTGATCTAGAAATAATTTGTGACCAGTTATTTCGATAATTTAAAATGGATCATACATAATCTCTTAAAAATGAAATTTTCCATTGTTTAAATTTCACAAAAAGTAAACCTATTTTTCTGGGCCACTGAAAAATAGCCATATGCCCCTATAGACTATGGTGAAGAGAAGATGGTTAATTTTATTTCATTTACGAGTTTTTGCATGGTTTGTCCTAAAGCACAAAATTTATACTCAATAATTTTTTTTACATCAAATATTCATCCTTAGTTTTGTAGTTGGGCATCTTGCAGAACTCTTTAATACAACTATGTTGGGCCAGCCCAATTTGAGCTAAGGAAATTGATACAAAGTGCACTAATTGGAGAAGCAAATGATTAGCACACTTCCCTTTATTTTTATTTTCTTTTTAATTTTTTATATTATTATTATTATTATTTTATTTTGTAGAATTTCACTTTTCGATCTGTAGCATGTTTTACATTACATAAATATATGACAAATCATCTTAAACTTAATTTAAGCTAATGTTATAGCATTCAAAATAAATTAAATTAAATTTCACTTAAAACTTGACATTAGCCTCTGCTTGTGTAGTAAAAAAATAATAAAAATAAAAATAAAAAATCAGTTTTTTAGAAAACTTTGATAAAAGTTAATGAAATATGTTGTTAAAAAGTTGTGGGTCTCATGAAATTTGTGTTTAAAATTAATTGTTGATCTCAACTTAATTTTTTATCAAAATTTTAAGCTACGCCAAACATGGACTAGGTGGAAATAGATTCTACTTTAAGAGGGCATTTGTTTCTCATTTTTGTAAGAATGAAAATGAAAAATATAACCGTTATGAGCCCTACACAAGAGATAGAAATTCAAATTTGGTGGCTTGATGTGATAGATAACGGTCATATTTTTTATTTTAATGGGGGAAAGAATGAGAACCAAACAGGGGCTAAATGTTTCTGTTAAGGCTTATTATTTTATTCACTCGAAACTTGTCCACGTTAAGTAGTGGGGGTTCATAATTAACCAAATAAATGAAATTACACAAGTTTTTCATCACATATTAACAGTGACTTCGCGATGTTTTTAAATAATTTTGCGACATTCGGTGATGCTATCTTCATTTTTGATCCAAGTGCGTTCCTGTGCGGGCTTGTCCATCATTTTGATCAATTACTTCTGAAATCTGCACCGTTGATGAATTCTGCATCCCGTCATGTGACTTTAGGTTTTTGATAGTTGATAAATCACGCAGCTTAACTTCTGGTAGAATTATTTTTTGACTTCTGTTCTCGGACATGTCATATAAAATCGCATGTGCTATTCCGAATAAAAATCCAACAACGTTTGGAGCCTTTTTTATATGTATATATAACAAAAAAAGAAAAAAGAAACAAAGATTACTGTTAGGAACAAGGTTCCAATTAATCAAAAAAGGAAAATACGAAAGATATGAATTTCAAGAGTCTTGTACTGTACTCACAGCTATGTAGTAATCCTTGATGAAAAGACTATAGGAGAACCATACTATGGCACATAGTGTGAGAAATAATGAGAGGTAGTGGCTGCTAGAATAATTCTCTATGTGGGCTTCACATTCGATTATAAATTTTATGGGTTAGATGTATGGCTCATAATGATATTTTTGTTTGGGCCAAATTTATTAAGTGATCAATTGGACCATTTACACCTTACAGGTTGTTATTGATATGATGTGGTAATTTTAAGTATGTGGGCCGAAAATAAACCCTAATTAGAATTTTAATCGTAATGGGACGACTCAATTATTTTCTATATAAAGGATAGGTCCTCTCTCCTCTCCATTATTATTTTTTATTAATTTGTCCTATTGATAACTAATACTTTGTGAGGAGTAAGGGGGGAAGATTTGTCTGCTATTATAATTACAACTATTATTCATATCAACAATGACTTTCGCATATATGAATTCGTTTTATTAATTTATTATTTAATGATTCTTGATTTTTAGCATGATTACAAATAAATTTCAATAGTGGCATGTATTCAACACTTTTTGTCTTTATCACTTGTCTCTACAAATGATAATAATGATGATGATGATGAAGGGGGAAAAAAAATTTGCTAAATATTTTGTAAAGTTTAGTAAATTTTAATTAAGGAACAGTAAAAATAAATTACTATAATGCTAAGAGGAGCAGCAAAAACACAGAGAAAAGGCGGAACAAATCGATCCAACAATTGTCACTTTCTTATGCCCTTTGGATAGAAAATATGTGCAACAGACTATCAATCCTAATGTTCCTATATTGAATAGGATGAGTAGCTGTGTAAAAATCTGCAAATTATTGTAAAGATAAAAGTTTTGGTTAGCCTAAATTAATTGAAGAGTCTAACTTCAAATGCATTGAAAATTAGGAAAAGTTTATCACCGTTGAATGGTTTGAAAGAGCAAAAATTAGCACGAAATATTTCAATCCGTGAATCGTGTTGGGTCACGGGTTCGTGACCCAAATTAAGGTGGATCTTTTTGGAAATAAATTGTTTCTTTATTTTTATGTGGGAAAAATTGTTTTCCTTATATTTCACATGATTTTCGTGAAAATATATTATTTCCTTATTCACATTATTTTCATCTTTATGGTATGTCATGTACTTATAAATAGGAATCTTCTCTTTCAGTTTTGTTTAAACAAGAATTGTTAAGTTCTTGTATTTATTTCCATATTGTCGATTAATAATACGTCGTGCTTCTGCGATTAACTATCTTTTTTAATTTTGTTACTTTTAAATCTTGTTTCTCGTTGCGATCTTCGTTACTTCATATTGCGTTGTTAATCTCATTCACTACAATCCTTCCGGTTCCAACATCCAAACAAGGATTCTACCTACTCCAAATTTATAAAATTAAAGAGAAAAAAATATAAGGATAAAAATAACCTTTGAGTTCTTAGTTGCATATACCATGAAGATGGTCAGAAAACAACTTCGAAAAAAAATCCAACACCGTTGATGGTTATAAGCATGACTTCAGAAAGGCATAATACAAAATATAACATTGCACTGAATAAGGCGACTGAATAAGGAATTGACTGAAAATCTTCTGTCGATTTTCTCTTACAAATCCTGTAAATGTAGACCTGAAATCCAAGAAAAGAACTCGTAAATTGTTGATGTGTTTTTTCGATATTGTTAAAATTTATAAGAATTAATAAGAAATCAGATACACTGGTGCCAATTATACCAAGAAGGACACGATATTTCCTGAAAAAAAATTAATTCCAATTAATTAACACGAGATTAGTTAAAACATATACAGACTTAACATAGAAGAATTGGCACTTCAAGATGATAAGCTGCTTATAAATGTGAGACGTGATTATTTCGTTTTGATGAGCAACATATATAGGCATCAAAAAGTAAGAAATTCATAGTGGAATTTGATATTTTGCTCTGAGCTGTCAAATTTTTGCTTGCATGAGAATTTTGATTGGTAAGCTAAATATGTCATCACTTCAATTTTGTATGTATACAAGGTTGGCATATGGCTTGTTTTTATGTTTAAACTAAAAAGCATGCCTTAGCCATGGATTTCCATATTTATAAATTCCTTTTGAAAAACTGCGCTTATGTCTCAATCTATTTTCCTAAAAGCAAGTTGGTTATCACCTATCATTTTAGTTGTACATCGAGTACTCAATTACAAAAACCATCCAAATCTTTCTTATATATACTGTCACATGGTCGTCGCATTTCAATTTTTTGAAGCTAGGTTTTTCCTTCGAAATTTTGATCCATGCTCAAAAATGTGAAATCAGACATGCTTTCACGATGGTCGTTATGAGTTAATTGGAAATGTAGTAAATTCTTAAAAATTGTTAATATATAAATTACGTAACTTAATTATAAATTGTACATGTGCATGATGAAATGTTGGGGTGTGAAAGCTCCAATAACACACGTTGATTCCAAATCGAATTGTAGAGAACGAAATTGTAATAACAATATTGAAATAAACAAGATCACACCACGAAACAAGGTTTAAATTGTAAAGAGGAATAAAAGATTAAACACAGACGAACGATGTTTTATTAAACAATATGGAGAATACAAAACAATCTAGCAATTGGCTTCT